ACAAAATAAATTTTTTTTTGCAAAATCATTCCATTTTCTTTTAAATTCACTTTAAAATTCATTCAATAATTTTGTTCAACAAATCTTTACTGCAAAGCTACTATATATCATGCATATATTAGATTAAACAATATAAAATGGCTGATATTTAAACAATTTAAAAAAAAAAACTTATTTTTAAAACAATTTTAGATGCACAAGAACTTGCAAAAGTGATACGGAGAGGTCTTCTATACATTCCTCCAGCATCTCCTAATGGTCATATCTTATATAACTAAAGTACTTTGTTGAAACCAGGACATTGCCCTGACATGATATAATTAAATAGTGTATACACTGTGCTAGGACTTTGTTGGCTTTTTATATGCACTCATTATTAAAAATATTTTTTGACCTATAAAAACAACCAATATATGGACATCTTTTGATGTCAGTACTTTTAGATCCAGGGAGTGGCCTTTCTTATACCACCATCCCATCCCTTTTTTAGCTGTGGGTTACTGGGTTTCTAACAACTTGCTTCAGGGAAATTACACACATCCCAAGAGTTTGCTCTTGACCCAGGCATCTCGGAAGGTTTTCAATGATTAATGCAAGATACAAATAATATTTTACAGCTAAAATGTTCATATTTGAGAAAATTTAGAAGTGATACAAAAGCACTAATGACAAAAATAATTTGTCTGCAATATTTTCACTCAAAGTCAGATGTATTTAGTCTCAGAATTTCTTTTTAGTTCTCTTTGGGAGGCAAGATGTATGTGTGTGTTTCTGTATATATTTTTAAGTATTTAAACACTCATTCCTGATACTAAATTTTTACTCTTTTAAAAGAATACTATGCAATGATAATTTTTTCAGGTCATAAAAATTCTCCATAAAAAGACATCCAGAATTATAAAGGTGAAAAAGGACATAGGAGATCAATTGGTGAAATGTCAGCATTTTCAGATGAACAAACTGTGGCTCAGAGAAGGGAAGTAACTTGCCCAAGGTCACACAGCTGGGAAGGCTGGGAAAAGTACTTAATGATGGGGGAGAGAGTCCCAGGATGCCAGAGTGATGAAGGCTGAGGGGCAAGCATTTGGCAATGCTCTAAGACATGGGGTTAAGTGTCATAGGAATTCCACTCTGCCAGAGTACCCATGCCCACCCAAAACTCAAGAGTACAAAATGTAAGCCAGAAAGCCAATTTACAGTGAAAATTCTAGCTACCAAGGGATCCACATCTTCACATTTCTCATATAAATACATTCTCATCCTGTAGGAAAATCTAATGTTAATCAGAATGCATGGGCCTGGGAAAAGTGGAATTAATGTTTAGATTTTTTGTTGTTATTATTACATC